CAACTAAAGGCTTGCGCACAATATTCAAACGGTACTACAACAGTACAGTTTTGAAAGAGGTTTTGAGAAAAAAACTGGTTCACGCAGGATCCCGTTGCGTAGCGGCCTCCTGTGGGATCGGCATCTACGCACAGGCGATACGCATACAGCCAAGCAGGTGTGTGTGTGATCTGTGTTGTGACGCAACAGGTTTGCTGTGAATTTGTATCGAGTTTCGCGACGGCCTTAACTAACAAACTTTCAAATTGAAAAAAAAGTTAAAAAAGAACTAAAATTTATCAAAATTAATTAATAAAAGCCCTTGTATAATTTTGTGTGAAATATTTACAAGTAATTTAATCAATCCGGATAAATCTTTAATGGATTTAGCACAACCTATCAAGTAAGATTGGACTCGCTGCTTGATGGTTCCGTATAGAGTTTCAATTAATCATTTACGCTATAATCGAAAATATGCATATTTTTTAGAGTGACAAGGTATAGGACCCTGCTCAACCTATGTATATTTATTTATAACTTTATGCACTTTTGTACATCAGCGGACTTAATGCCCAACGCATTCTCTGCCTGTCAACCTTTAGAGAGTGTAGAAATCGTGAGTGGTAGGCGCGTATAGGTTATGACACTAATCAGTAAGATATACACTACCCAACACAACACACGTAATTTAATACACACTACACTCATAGATACACACACACACATATATATATATATACATATATACATACACATACACACACTATACATATATGTGTGGATGTAATGTGAGTGGTGTAATCGTTATTTTAGATTAATGGAAGTTAGTTTCGATTTTCATTTTTTTTTCGTTAGGTAATGTGAGTCCTTGGTAAATGGATGAGTTTGAGAGAGTTTTTTCTATGAGAAACAGATTCCAGAGAAAAAAAAGTTGACCGTTGGGTTTTGGATTAACAACAAAGTAAAGGTTCGGATTTAATATTTGAGATACGGAACCCTAAAAACTAGCGTTAAGAGTAGAGAACATATATTCAAGCTATAAAAAGGAAAACATTGTTTAGTGTGCAAGTGTACAATAAATTAACAAAATGATATTCAACATTTAAATAAAAAATTAATAAGAAAAAATTAACTATCATAGCTTCAATCGCTTTCATTTACATCTTGTATTAGAAGTTATAGACAACTAACACTGGTATTTTCCTTAAACGTGAATCAATACAAATAAATAAAACTGAGGTGTATGTTCGCAACTCATTATAACAGCTTTTTCAAAGAACGACTTCAACCTAAGGCGCCAACAGAATATCCCCAAAAGAACGGCTAGACCACGGGACTTGTACTGGATAATACTCGTAGTAGTAATGTAATATTTGTAACAAAGAGCCAACTAAGCTGTCCAGGTGCTCCGTGTGGTGACGGATTAAGAATACGGAGTGTCACCACCCCTATTCCTAGCCGACTAAGGAAGCAAACTAGGCAGGACAACAGCGCTGCAAAGAGAAGGAAAACTTGACACAAACGTAATAAAAACCCATCTGGCCAGCGTGGTATACTGGGCCTAAACCTCATTTCTAAGGAGAGGCCTAATGTATAACAATAATAATAATATAATAATATATCTCATACATCTCACACGGCCGTCTGATCCCAAACTAGGCAGAGCCTGTACTATAGTAACCAGACTGCTGATAAACATACTTATACATATTTTAAATACATACATATTATAGATAAATTACACCCAGACACAGAACAAATAACCGTGGTCGTCACACAATATTTGTCCTGGGTGGGAATCGAACCCACGACCTCCCGGCTTAGCAGTCAGGGCCACTAACCACTAGACCAACAGGCTCGTCAAATACAAGCTAATAATAATAGTTTTACATGCTTTTTGCTGACTCCGCCCGCGTTTATGTCGGTTATCTCGGTTAAAAGTTGCTTCATCATCATCATCATCAGCTTCAAATCAGCGCAAATCGTCACTCCACCTGGCCTTGTTGCTTATGAATTAAGAATCAAACTATCTCCATAACAAATTTCATCTGAATCCACCTCCCTTTTAACCCTCATAAAGGACGATTTCTGGGATAAAAACTATCCTAGCCTCGTCGGAGGATTCTACCTTTTGGGTTGAAGAGACATAATATCAGTTTTTTCACAAATTTATTAATTAAATAAACAATAATAATAAAATATCTAACGTAGAGAGCAATTATGAGAAGCTATTTGACAATCATTATAACAATGTTAGACCGATAAATAATTGTTTGAAAATACACCTTAACCTGTTGTTTTAAGTTCATGCATATTCAATAAAAAAATTAAGGTACGTGTCCGTAAAGAATCCGTGTCCCCGGATACATATTTCTTACGATCCGGCACATCACTACTCCATTGTAACGGTGTTGAGATTTAAACGAACATACGAACTTACTGAATTTTCTAACCACTAGACCAACAGACCCGTAACAATGGACTATTAAAGGCTGTTGATGATGATGACGCGATCTGCAGTTGGTAACTATACACCGAGCTGATGACCATTTCAGATAACGGTGCTAAACTCCTGAAGTATCAGTCGGATTTCAAGAAAATTTGCATGCGGCAGCCCGCTACAACATCACGCTAATACGCTAACAGTAGGAGGTAGTACAGTAGCCAATAACGTGGGTGAAACTTCGTGAAAACTGCTACTTACTTTTATTTGTATAAATCCCACACGTGATAAAGATAATAGGTATTTTAAGACAAAAGTATTTAGCACGCTTGTACGGCCATCATATCGCCCACGACTATTCTTTTGTAAATTTTATTAATCAATATAAATATACACAAAAGAGATTACTCGTGTATTTTATAATATTCTAAACAATTTATATACTTCTAGTGTTAAGTAAATAAATTAATGTTTAAAATATAAGACAGTTGTTTTACAATAAGCTATTCGAGCTTATCCTACTAGTGATGGTATAAAATCACAATCACACGGGATTAATCAATGATTTATAAATCATATAATCGCAGCTGTAACTAATTTACAAAACCACTACGACTTGTTATTAATATTACGCTAGCGCAAGACTCGCGAAAATAGAAATCTAAAAAAAAACGACTTTTTTTAGATTTCTATTTTTATTACTATCCTTGATAAAAATAATTTTGATTGATTTTAATGGCGTTTATCTTTGTCTATGACAAAATCACAATCACATGTGAAATCGCTGTGACTGCAAGCTTTCATTTCATCAAATGAATATGATTTAAAAGTAGCAATAATTTCCATGTTTTAAAATGCCTACAGTCCTTAGTTCCGTATTAGCAGCATCCGTTTTCTACCATTGCCTTTTCTTTTTGTCTAACGTTTATTTCAGTCATCACACGTCAAGAGTATTTAATAGTCCACTACTGCACATAGGCCTCGCCTTAAAAAAACGTTTTGGCCTATTAAACCACGCTGACCAGACGGGTTGGTATAGGGTTTGTTTCAAGTTTTCCTTCTCTTTGCAGTGCTATTGTCCTGTGTAGTTTGGCCTGCCTTAGTCGGGTCTAGAACCCCACGGGATGAACAGGGGTGGTGACACTCAGTTTTCTTAATCCGTCACCACACGGATGGTTTAATCCAGAAACAAAAAAACAGATATCTTGGCAAACATGCTGAAATACATTAGAAAGTCAACAATTATATTAAATTAGAAATCTTTCCTTTTAAGCTTATTTAACGGCAATGAAATTACATAATATGGGTTTCTATTATATTGGTATACATACTTATATTGTTATACAAAAGTCTAAGACCAAAAAAACATTAAAGTTGGCACATAAACGAAGGTTTAAACAGTTTATTTAAAGTTTTCCACTAAAATTATTCATGTTCAAATTATAATTGTTTAATACCTTTAATATAAAGTTACAACTTAAGTACAGTTACATAATGACTACAACAAATAACCAACCGTTTAATAACATTTAAAACTAGAAACATATAAAACAAAGTTTTCCATAAAGTGTTCAAAAGTCTTGCAATTATTAAGTTAAAAGGCGTCCCGTATATAAATAGTAAAGCTCATTAAAATTGCAACTTAGCTCGTGTCCAATTAACTTCAAAGTAAAGTTAATGTGTCGTTGCAATCATGCGCATGTGCCGCGCGACTGCGACAAAATAAACGCAAAAGAACTAAAAATGATGTATGCACTGTAATTAATTTTAATTGTACTACTTTCAGTCCATTATAGTACTCTTCTGGGGTATTTTTGATTTCAAAGACGGTGTTAAAAAAAAGAACGAGCGCTACAGAGAGAGAGAAAGAGAAAGGGTGTGCTTCATCGGCTTCAGACTCCCACAGACTGCAGGAAAGCGAGAGATAAAAGAAACAGTAAATCTTCGTGAGTAAGAGGTTCACAACCTCCTAATATCCAACTAGGTCAAATGATTATTATAACATCACATCACATCAACAGCCTTTAATAGTCCACTGCTGGACATAGGCCTCTCCTTAGAAAGGAGGTTTTTGACTACTAAACCACCAGACGGGTTGGTATAGGGTTTGTGTCAAGTTTTCCTTCTTTTTGCAGGGTGTCCTGCGTTGTTTTGCGCCCTTAGTCGACGGCTCTTACGACACCCAAGGGATGAATTGGGGTAGTGACATTACATATTCTTAATCCGTCACTACACGGACAAATATAATTATAATTAAATTATAATATAGCCCTATGCACACAGTCCGTGTTTTGACGGATTACGAATACGGAATGTCACCACCCCTATTCATCCCGTGGGTGTCGTAAGAGCCGACTAAGGGAGCAAACTACGCAGGACAACAGCACTGCAAAGAGAAGGAAAACTTGAAACAAACCCTATACCAACCCGTCTGGCCAGCGTGGTATAGTAGGCCAAAACCTCCTTTCTAAGGAGAGGCCTATGTCCAGCAGTGGACTATTATAGGCTGTTGATGTGATGTGATGATGTGATGCACACATTTCTGGTACGGAAAACAAGAAAATGATAGTCGCTCTATTCAAGACTCCCATAGAGCTCTACTGTCGCTCGTCACTTTTATCTTTTCATTACGACCGCCGACCCGTAGAGCTCTACTGTCGCTCGTCACTTTTATCTTTTCATTACGACCGCCGACCCGTAGAGCTCTACTGTCGCTCGTCACTTTTATCTTTTCATTACGACCGCCGACCCGTAGAGCTCTACTGTCGCTCGTCACTTTTATCTTTTCATTACGACCGCCGACCCGTAGAGCTCTACTGTCGCTCGTCACTTTTATCTTTTCATTACGACCGCCGACACGTAGAGCTCTACTGCCGCTCGTCACTTTTATCTTTTCATTACGACCGCCGACCCGTAGAGCTCTACTGTCGCTCGTCACTTTTATCTTTTCATTACGACCGCCGACCCGTAGAGCTCTACTGTCGCTCGTCACTTTTATATTTTCATTACGACCGCCGACCCGTAGAGCTCTACTGTCGCTCGTCACTTTTATCTTTTCATTACGACCGCCGACCCGTAGAGCTCTACTGTCGCTCGTCACTTTTATCTTTTCATTACGACCGCCGACCCGTAGAGCTCTACTGTCGCTCGTCACTTTTATCTTTTCATTACGACCGCCGACCCGTCTATGAGACCACGCTGACTAATCGCTGGCAACACCGTGTCCGTCACAAAAAAATGTAAAATATTCAAAACAGTCTCAATTCAGGTGCTCAAATAAAATAATTCACATGACTAAAATCTTATGTGAAAGTAGACCAAATGTGCCGATGTGACTCCCTAGAGAAGCAAACTTTCTGTTTTACGTAATTAGTATGATAATTAATTTCCTCTTAACCCATGATTTCATTCATTGCGGTCACATGGGTAAATATCCAAGGGCCTCATACATAAATGTCATTAAAATTCTTTAAATCAGACCAGTGGCTTGTATAAATATTTCATTAAATTATGATGCTCATGATTTTGTTTGCATACCAACATTAAATTTAACTGACGGTAAAAGATTACAGATATTTGAAGGTAAAGAAATGTGGGTGTCGTAAGAGCCGACTAGGGGAGTAAACTACGCAGGACAGCACTGCAAAGAGAAGGAAAACTTGAAATAAACCCTATACCAACCCGTCTGGCCAGCGTTGTATAATAGGCCAATATCTTCTATGTTCAGCAGTGGACTAGTAAAGGCTGTTGATGATGAAATAAATGTCTGTACTACAAGTTTCTTAGTCTTGAATACATGGTTTGAACCTTAGATAAGTCTAAAATTTAGATTTATCGGGCCTTCCGGCCTAGTGGCTAGTGACCCTGACTACTAAACCTAGAGGTTATGGATCTGATTCCCACCCAGGACAAATATTTGTGATGAGCATGATACTTTGTTTGTTCCGTGTCAAAGTGTAATTTATCTATAATATGTATGTATTCAGAAATATATAAGTATGCTCATTAGCAGTCTGCTAACTTTAGCACAAGCTCTGTCTAGTTCTTTTTTTTTTTAAGACAAATCCCGCATTAGTAATATATTCTTGTTTCGCGGGGGACTTTACAAACAAAACGGACACAAACAACACCCAGACTCAGAACAACAATTAGTGGATCACACTGTAGCTCCATGTGGGGATCGAACCCACAACACTCAGCGTAGTAGTAAGCGGCGAACTACTACGCCATCCGTGCAGTCAGTTTGGGATCGACTGCCATGTGTGAGATGTGTGAGGTTATTATTATTAGTGTTAGATTGAATTGGTAGCTAGGTGAATCCCAAAGCACTTCATCACAACTTAGTCATAATGGCTAAGACCTTGCTATTAAGTGCAGATTTGATTCCGACATACAATGCCGGAAACAAATCCAAAGAAGCTACCTAACAAATTTTAGATTCTTCAAATAAAACGAAATCAAATATTTGGGAGTGGGCAAAAATTTATTCACTAATAGATTCATAGATGTTAATACCTACACAGTAACGAGTCAAACTAATACATATAAAGACACTAAATAGCCTTGCCACTTACAGATTGAGAACAACAAAATGATTACAATACAGAAATGTGATTCAAGCAATGACTCACAGCTGTTCACACTTGGACATAACGAGTAATAAAAGAATTCGTCAGTTCGTAGACCTGCGCTATAAGCGGGTAGACAGTTCACTGATAGATCAGATAATTATCGACTATTTCATTTACGTATAATAGAGAGCAGTGAATCCGGGTCACATAACGATATCTTATAGAATGCTTGTGCTTGTCCGTGTGGTGACGGATTACGAATACGGAATGTCACCACCCCTATTCATCCCGTGGGTGTCGTAAGAGCCGACTAAGGGAGCAAACTACGCAGGACAACAGCACTGCAAAGAGAAGGAAAACTTGAAACAAACCCTATCGTGACGTATCTATATCAGGTGGCTTCAGTGTGTATTTAAAGGTATGGTAAGGGTGTATGTATCAATATGCTGCTGCTGAAACGATAAAGCTAAGAAGTTGATATTTTAGACTTATTTTTAAACTTTAATTCACAACGTATGTATCATATATCGATGTTAGTATTATTAACTTCTCCGAATAAGTTGGCAACGCGCGTGTGACTTCTGAGTTGCAGGCGTTCATGGGCGGTGGTAGGCGCTTTCCATCAGATGACCCGTCTACTCGTTTGCCCCCCTATTCCATAAAAAAATAAATCAAATGTATGAATGAGGAAAGTTGCGAAAATAGTAGTAATAACATACATAATAATAGAAGACGACCAACTGATGCTAAATTACCGGTACTATGGCGACCAGATTAATTGTTAAAAAAAAAAATTATTTGTTTGTTTTAAAATAAAAAGACAACTCCCACATTAGGAATATATCCTGGGTCGCGGGGGACTTTAAAAACATACATGAAACGGACACAAAGAACAAACAGACTCAGAACAACAACGACGCCACATGGGACGACACAAAGTGTCGTCCCATGTGGCGTTTGAACCCACAACACTCGGCGTAGTAGGAAGCGGCGTGGCGACCGCTTTAACCACTACGAAATCCGTGCGGTCAAATTCTTATTCTCATATATTACTATATATACACATAGATACAGCACAAAAATACTTATAATCCTTATAAACTGAGGTTTAAGGTCAATTCACTTGTTTTAAGTTTTAATTTAATCCTGTGGTTATAGTCAGTAGTCAGTATCACCAAACTTTGTTTATTTTTTAAAAGACAAATCCTACACTAAGTATATAATCCTGTGTCGTGGGGGACTTACAAAAACACATGAAACGGACACAAAGAACACCCAGACTCAGAACAACACTTTGTGGATCACACAAAGTGTCGTCCCATGTGGGGTTTGAACCCGCAACACTCGACGTAGTAAGAAGAGGCGAGGTGACCGCTTAAACCACTACGCCATCTGTGCAGTTGAACTTTAAAGATCAATAATTCGAAATTGAATTGACTCAAAAGTAAAAGATAAGAATGGCAACACACAAATGTCATTCTTATTGTTGCCACTTTTACGAAACCACTTAGCATTGCTTGTGCTTCTATTTATAAAAAGGTTTTGCAAGATATAAACACAGCATCCATTTACTCAATAAATATCTGTGCATTTAAAAAACAAATAAAACCATACTTAAATACAATCGTAGTTGACAATAAATTCACTTTACGACGACAGTAGTAATAAAAATGTTTTAATAAAATCCAAGTGCAAAGTCAAAGAAAAAATTGCTATATTTATCAGCTCTACTACAAATAAATTACAGAAGTTTATACAGCATACCTATTTGAAGAGTGGCAAATAAAATACTTTTTTATATATATAAGACATAATGACATAATTACAAATGTAAGTTCTTTTTGTATGCTTTACTCTTAACCTACTCAACCGATAATCATAAAACGTCGCTTACACGTCCAGAAGAAAAAATAGTGTACCTTTCATTTAAAAGAGAAAAATATCCTCCAATAATGGAATAATAATAGTTTTTAGATGTGTAGAAACTTGAAAATTGTCGGTGTACAATACATCTCTTTCTACCCCTTAGGAAATACAGACATCAATGACTGTGTGTATGTTTGTACATGATGCATGTTTAAACCATACTACTGCAAAAGTGCACCTATCTGTCTGTTACCTCTTTACGCTTAAAGCGCTTAACCGATTTAGATGAAACTTGGTATGGAGATATTTTGAGTCCCGGGATAGGATAAAGGATGAGTTTTATCCCAGAAATCACCCCTTAAGGGGGTGAAAAGGGAGGTGGAAGTTTGTATGGAAAATCAATAACCGCTGAACCTACCGACGAGTACTTTGATTCTTGAGGAGAAGACATGAGTTACTTTTTTTTACCGACATACGGAGCATCGGACAAAAGCTAGTAATTATAAAATTAAAACTACCTAAGTTTCTATCTATTAGGTCAGTGTGGTGACGGATTAAGAATACGGAATGTCACTACCCCAATTCATCCCGTGGGTGTCGTAAGAGCCGACTAAGGGCGCAAAACAACGCAGGACACCAGCACTGCAAAAAGAAGGAAAACTTGACACAAACCCTACATCAATCACAACCCGAGTGGCCAGCGTAGTATAGTAGGCCAAAACCTCCTTTCTAAGGAGAGGCCTATGTCCCGCAGTGGACTATTAAAGGCTGTTGATGTGATGTGAAGTTTCTATCTGAGTCTTCGTCCGTCATTCAAGACATATATATATAAAATGTCCCATGTTCAAAGTATATGTTGCTAGTATATGGGGCCATGTTTGTAATTACGCGCAAGTAACATTATTTATTGCCCATAAATCTGCACGCGCTCATTAGCCCATGTGTGGGCACCTTTATGGTGTCTCGACCGTAGATCTGTTTACGTTTTATCTCGATTCGGTTTGTTATTTGTAAGTAATCTTATCAGTAACTAATCAAGAAATAGTAACGAGTTATTAATTAATAAATAGTTATTGCGACGTTACGTTTTATTGGCGACCTACTGGGCAAGCATCCACACCGACAGAGAGAACACATGAGACCCTAATTATCGGCAAAACAGAGATTACATCTTATTTACTTCATTGAGGTATTTAAACGCCATTAAATACTGTTAATAAATATTATAATAATCTTAAATCACGAATTTTTAAGGAATTTATCTATTGGTGGTTATAGATATCTATCAGTGATCACTTAATATCACCAAAGCTATATGTTGATTGCTGATCAATTTGTTCATGAAAAGGAGTATTTTAAAACGATTAGACTGATCACTTGAAGAGAGAGAGAGAGAGAGAGACGAGAAGGAAAACTACACCGGCCCGTTTGGTCAGCGTGGATCTTGGCTTGGTAGGCCAAAACCTCCTTTCTGAGTAAAGTCTATGACTATTGAAGACTGTTGACTATCACTTGATAGTGACTACCACTGCCCATGGGCAAAGGCATTTTTAAAGGTCTACTATCAATCTAAATTACTAGTATTCCCGTTAACCCCTCCCGCTAAGCCGAACCCACAACCTCTTGATCGTCAGTCTAATGCCTTAACCACTAACACCTTAACCGCTACATCTATGACTTAAAAGTCACAAGTTGCTTATTGCCGATTGAGTCCATCAGTCGCTTCCCCTCCCCCCCCCCCCCTCCAATTAGGAAAAGGGGAGTTTTAGGCTCCGATAACCTCATTCATTCAAACACCGGTTTTCTGTGAGGCCGTGGTATCTCTCCAGTCGATCCGGTCCATTTGTGCTGAAGTATGACTCTTTCATGGTTACCTAGAAGCAGCACAAATCATTCGACTGCCTCGGTGGTGCAGTGGTAGCGTATGCGTCTTGGGTTCGATTCCCGGGTCGGACCAAAAGTTTGTCATCATCATCATCATCTCCACTGCTGGACATAGGCCTCCCCAAGGACTCTCTACAACAACGGGTCCAATGCTGTCAGATGTCTGAAAATATTATTTATATTCTGTTCTTCGTTTTCTTTTTCGTAGGTGGAAAGCGGATCCACAATCGCAACTGGCTTAGCATATAGAATTACTAGCCACTAGATATTACACTACAACAAATACATCGGTTGTGGAACCAAATCCGATTAACCGATCATTGATCTTAAACGCTTATAACAATAAAAAATTCAAATCTTCTAAATGACACAGAAAATACCGAAAATGACGACTCACATTGTGCGTAGGCGCACCCATCAACCTGGAAACATTTCTTCAAATATTACTCACCATCAATTTTTTTGCTTTCAAACTATTAGAATATAAATAATGTTTTTTTGCTCAAAAACACTAAAATAGACAACAATATAGACATTTTTGGTGTTGCCATTATCTCGGCCAGTTTTCCGAAAAGGCACAGACTATGCCGCTACATAGCATAATAATAACATTTAATGTGTAGGGTGGCATTAACAGTTGTCAATTTGGCAACACAAATTTTTATTTGAATAATTAAGTAAATTAGTTTTTAAAGCATCGAATAAGGTATATTATCTTTAATGTATTGTTTTTATGATCTGCAAATATTTGTTTTGGAGTTTGGGTGCTTTCTATATATAATATGTATATATTTACAAAAAAGTACTCTATCAGTCAATCTAGCTTTCATAGTAAAAGCTCTACTTAGTTTGAAACTAGATGGCGTTGTTTCAGATGTCTGAAAATATTATTATTGTATGATCTATATGATCTAATCCCACATAATAGGCCCGTTGTTATCGTGGAACAGCCAGACTAGTGATACCACGGCCTCACAGATATCCGATGTTTTATCGTTTTATGTACCTACATATATCTTGTTTGAATTTAGATGAACCAAGTTCGTTCCCGTACTCCTCCGAAACGGCTTGACCGATTCTTATGAAATTTTGTGTGCACATCGGGTAGGTCTGAGAATCGGCCAACATCTATATTTCATACCCCTAAATGGTAAGGGTGACCAATCCCTAAATTTTTTTTTAGGCAAAGCAACGTTTGCCGGTTCAGCTAGTAATATATAAGATTTATACTAACGCTCGTGTCTTGGAGCTCACTTTATAAGATTTTTAATAAAATAATATGAAAATGTTCATCTAAATTCATACAAGATATGTGTAGGTACATAAAACG